TATTTGAATTTTACATACCTGAGGATTTAGTTTATCAGGTCGACCATCCTCGGAACTTCCCAGGAAACTAAGATTCGTGATACACGACGTACTCAAAAAATCGTTCAAGTTTCCCAATGATACTCTAGTACCATTGATGTAGCCGCTTTTAAGTTTTTTCAAGGTAGTTATCATAGCTAACGGTATCTTACCTTGATCTAAAAAAATAATGTTAATGAACTTTAATAAGGAGTAAATAAAAAATAAAAATAAGTGTTTTTTCGTACTGAAAATGATAGCTTTTTTACAGAATATCACAAAATTCAAGCATAGACATATAGCAAAAAATTCATTTAAAAACTACAATAAAAATGTATACATGTTTTCTATTTTAGAAAAGATTTTTGAATGAAGATTTAAAATTTGCTGATAAAAAAAACTATTGCTGTTTTTATTTCTTCACAAACTATGCTGCAACAGAACATTTATATTCGAATTTTATGATACTCTGTATGCGGTTTCTTCTAACAGTTAATTTTACGCTAACATTATGTTACACAATCCAATGTAGTATTCGACGAGCTTTTCGTTGTAGGATGAGATCTAAAGCTTCCGACGAAGCCGTACCTAAATGATTATGAGTAGCGACAAGGGTTACAGTTGGTCTGCCGAGCATTTGCTTCCAGTTGATTTTGAGGAAGGCCAAGGTGGTTGTGAAAGTGTTCACAAGCAGGTCGACGTCGTATGTTGTGTAGTACTCCTCCGTGTCAAATTTCTAACACATGCAACACACGCGCAATACCACCAAACACAATAAGCCATATCAGGATAATTTAGGATAATTTTATTGCTTGATGCTTGAAGATGAAACAATCTCGCTTCGAATATTTTACTTTTATCTCGCACTGTATCAGTTGAACATCTTTAATATCAACACAACTCACAATCGCATCCACTTTTGAGACCCGAGTGTCCACTTCATGTTAGTAATTAAAAGTTAATAATGAAAAGAATAGAAACATAACATGAATGAAACTAATTAAAAGCTCATGTCGTAACTCTCTATGGATATTATGTACTAATTTCGAAACTAAATACGTTATTATCGAAGTAAATTATAGTTAGAACTCATATAATAATGTATTATTAAGGCATATATAATATATAACAAACATAAGTTCTGAAGTATTCAAAATCATGTAAGCCATAGAGAGTTAAGTAACTGTTAAATGAAACCATGACAAAAACAAACGCATGCAAGCAGACATTAGTTGTTCAGAGCGGACAGTCACAGTGTTTATAAAAAATGAGAATTTCACGCAAGAAATTCATCAAAACTTCTAAGAAGAGCCACAAAATTTGTCTAATCATGACAATTTCAACGGACTTCAGAAAGTCTAAAGTAACGACTAAAAAAAGAACTATGATTTTGAAATCGTTAAATTACCTAGATGAATATTCTTGAGGGGCATGACCACGAGAGGCCGGCCCAACATATTCTGCCAACTAGACTTCAAGAAATTAATTTCACCTTTGAATATGTCAATCATGAGCTCATAGTCCGATGCGATGTAGAAGCGGGTCATATCTGTCAACTAGTCAATTCGGTGCGAGAACAAGAGGAAACATAAGAAAAGAAGTAAAGATACAAAAGATGATAAAGGGTTCACCATAAAATGCGAGTATTTACCTGTGGCGTGAACGCGAATATCTTATCGTGTAAGGAATACAGTTTACTAGTGCTGAGAATTCCTACGTCCCTTGACTTACGCCCGGACAGTCCTAATTTTTTGTTGCGTCCTTAAAACGAGATTATAAAATATACAATATAATATCTAAATTATTTTTAGTAAAATATTTTTAAACAATTTGCGATTTTGTTGCGTCATACCTAAATATGTGTACAAATGACTGAGGACTTTTGCAGGTTGTACCTCAATCGGTGCAACTTCTGCAATTGTTTGTACATGAATATCGTGCTGTGCAATTTTTTCCCTGATTTCTGTATCTTCTGCCAAGATAACTACTTGTACCACAACATCCGGCTTTTTCTCGCTGCATAATCGTCTATTTAAGGGATCTAACTCGCCAACTGCAAGAAATCCCTAAAAATTGAAACAAATTATTGAAAAGAATCATATTACGGAAATATTTTGTTATAATGTAACACTTAGTAGGATTATTGTATTAAACACAATTTTCGAGATTAAAACACTTCATATACATTGCAAAAGAAACAGCAGATAAAATTATCAAATATTTAATATTTTAAATATTTGTACATAAATTATAAGATAATATGATAAGAAATATTATTAACTTTTTAAATGTGGTAATTTAAGGAAGTTCTTAATTTGCCTCAACTATGTTTCTGAAAGTATGTTACCTCTTGCAGCAATTTTCCTAGAATATAAAGAGATTGTGCCCACTTAAATGGACATCTGCCTAAAGCTATTCGATTTTGGCTACCAGGTTCAGCATACTCCGCTGATACATTCTCAGGTGCGACGGAGTATAATTCAGGCACTAATTTCATACCATCTTCTGCTTTAATCATTACTTCTTCCAACTGTTTGGTGTACGTTTCAACTGCTTCTTTATTGCCTTGGAAGCAGTAATCCAATATTAAATAACAGAAGAATAGTGGCCATTCGCATTCGATATTCTCAAACATACGAAGCTCCCATGGTTCATAATACAATCTATTTCCAAGGATATAATTATTAGTCAAAATAAATTTTACTAAAAATTATTATTAAATAAATACCTATTCATATCCTCTTTTGGTGTTTTATATCCATCCCTTAAAAATCTTTTACAACCATATCGTCCTTGTAATTTCTTGGTAATAGCCTCACGTGTTTCGTGAATCAAGTTAGGCTCATCTACTGCAAACGCAGGGAAACTTATAATCGATAGCAAACCACTATCCAACTCTTTGGAGTTTGACTCTCTAGGCAGCATAGATTGCAGTACTGCTTGACACTTTTGTGCTTCGTCGGCCAGAACATGAATAACTGACGTAGGTCCACCTCTTGCACCAAATAAATCCAATTCGTTCATCGCCTCCATTGCAGCCTTGGCCATTCCGATACTACTTGCATTTAATTCCGGTAAACCGTGATTCGTTTTATCTCCTCTCTCCCAAATTCCATAATCCGGAGTACAATAGGCAGATTCGATATAAAATACCAAGTTCTGAATAAAAGCCACCTAAAATTAACAAGAAAATTGCAGTCCAATTTTTTAAATCAATAAATCTGGTATACATTACATATTATTATACAAAAATACACTTATATTTGTATTATTAAAAAATAGTACAATTTATAAGTTTACAGTATACACACAAATGTCAGATATCAAATACCTCATCCAAATTGAAAACAATTTGCAAGCCAGATGCTGTCATTTGACCCAGAATTAAAAGATACAGAGAAATTGCATCGATTTGAAGATGTCCCCACTCTGTATCTCCAACTACACTTTGACCATTGGTAGAGCTATACTTTGCATGCAAGGCATCGTGTGGATTTTGAGTAGACTTAAACTTTTCCACTTTTTCCTTCTGCTGCATCATTGCCATCAGGAGACCCCTCATTAGCTTTACACAGCTCTGTTCGAGTTCGTATGTCTTCGCTCTATCCTCGTCAGCATCTGCTATCTTTTTATAAGCCATTGATAGACCCCATACAGCAAGTATGCAATAAACGTTATCCCGTATCCAGGCATGGTCATTGTCAGGACTTGCAGGAAAGAGTCCAGTAACAGGATTCTGATAATTCATAATTATTTTGTGGACAATCCGCTGGTAATAGTCCAAACGGACGCCAGAGTTGCTTCTGCTGCGCATTTTGTGCTTTTACTGTAAAATAAAAAAAAAGAAAAATTATATATGACTGTATGTTCACATTTTAGAATCCAATAAGCTTTCTAATCAAATTATATTAGTTTTATATATATATATATGTTCAAATCTTAGACCTTGATAAGTCGCTATATCTAATTTCAATACATTCTCTTCTATAGTTTTTATGTATCAAATATACTTTTAAATTAATTATAAACTAGTCGAGATCGCACACAAATAACTAACTTTATGAGTGAGATACAATAATGTAACTGATGACCGAATAATTTTTTATGTATGTATAGCTCTGTTATCGTCACGAGGTGAAGGGTCAACTTATAAGTTAGGAATGATTATCGCACTTTTAAAGTGTTTAAATCATTAGGAGTAGGAATAAGTATTCCAATTTTGAAAAATTAGCAAATTAAAATTATCATGATCGTTAAAAACTGTATGTATGTGTGTACCTCAATAACAACTGCTAATCTTTGATTCCAGAAACTCTAGATTTATCAGTTAGATTTTCATAGTATCGATACTAAGCAGTCTAAACGTTGAGTCGGTGTTCTGTGAAAAAGTAGGAGAACCACATTTTTTTTTTGACAATCAATCAAATCAGATATAACTAGGAGTTTTAAAACGCAATGTGAAACGAATGTCAAGCAAACACAACGCACACGCATGAACGTACATACATTTACGACGTTCCCAAATTGTTGGATCATACGAGGATCCACGCATACGCAGTAACAAGCATCAGTCACGTACATATTTCGTTGCGATAAGTGGTACACAGCCAGGCCCGCCACGAGGAAAACAAAAAGATAATGAAAAGAGACAATCAAGAGGAAGAGTAAATAACGTAGCGTTTCGTGAATGATTTTAATGAGCCTTATTAACGCTTTATCGTCTGCCTGCCCCGTCGTCTCGTACGTGTCGCCAGTCGCCACCGGATAATGTATGCACTATGTGTGCATTGACGTCAACAGTATAACGTATATACTTACGTGTGTTTCCCACTTACGTTTATTGCCTACATCCTTCGCGACTTACAGCCGGTAATTTCAGTTGTAGTTTCTTACATTCGCGCTCCATTCGATTATTTTTAATGTCACCTACAACAACAAGAACACGAAAATCTTTACGGGCTTGCCGCGAGTTTAGGATCACTTTTCGGGAATGTTTTCCCTACAATTTCTACGATTCCACACCCTCCACACTATTTAGTACGAACGTAAAATTTAAGATATATTTAAAATTTCGGAGATCAAGACAATCCAATTTCACAAAATAAATCTCCACAATTCCCTTTAATTTATGTAACTTTCATGGATCGCTGTATCGATCCGCATTCTGTGCAACTTTTTTTTTTGTATTATTTGTGTTTGGTAAAAATAGAGATGAACACGTGATACGAGATCGCACGTAGACAGACGAATCTGTCGAAAATAGATTCGATCTACTACCTACTTTGTTGATAGAGAAACTTGTACGGATTTGGTAGGATTTGGCATACAAATATGTTATTGGCAGAATGCTCGTAGCAAAGTTTCTAAATAAAATGTGATTGATTTTAAAGATCATGCAGGTTTTTTTTATATACTTCATTGAATACGAGTAAAACATGTTAATTGCTTTAATTGATTTGCTAATTACAACCATTTTACTGTCAATCTGCTGTAAAATTAAACAGTTTACTTGTTAAAAATTATACAAATTAGCACCTAAAAGTAAATTTAATTATTTTAAATAAGTATAGTAATAATAAATATATATGAATTTTTCCTTCTCATCTTTTTTAATGATTTTGTAAGAACTCAATTTTTTTACGTATATTTGCCTGCAAGCCAAGTATATGTTTGTATGCGTTTATTCACGTATATTTATTGCGAAAGCATCGTGAAACTTTCGCATAAAGTTTTCGCCATAGTTTTCTTATTCTAACAATTGCACGAACAGCTGTAACGGGGCATATACAAATACATTCTTCGGAGCTGCACTACTTTTGATCTGCACTTAAAATAAAACGAATATACATTGCTACTATAGATATTGAAAAAAAAGATGATAGATGAAGACTACCGCGCTAATGAAAATCAATCTCGATTTGTCTTTGTCACTTATTTTTTTCAAAGTTTATTCGAAAAAAGAAAGGCTCATTTTAGAATTCACGCACTGATCGCCTCTTGTTAATTCTAGGACACCCTGTATGCTACAACTTAAAAGAAAGAGAGAGACGAATAGACGGGAGGGAGAGAAAGACGAAGAGAAGGGAAACAGCGAAAGTGCAGCCGAAACGAAGAGAAGAGAGACTCGAGGCTTCTCAGTTCTCGTACGTGCGACAGTTTGCGGTAGCTATCAGCGGTTATGGACTGATCGTCAGTCGCTCTCGCGGTGCTGCGGGTAGCGCTCCATTTCTTTTTTGTTCTCCCTTATTTTAAGTTGCATCCGCGGGAGTGTTTTGCTCCGTTGGATTCCCCGGAGTTTTCGTGCACGCCGATCCGGTCGGGGATCCGCGACGCGATATGGCCGCATTTGATCTTCCATGCTCTCCGCCGTTTGTATTGGCGGTCACGTTATTCGTCGCAACGCTAACCTCGTCTATCAACGCAGCAACAACTGGCACGTCTTTGGAACCGTCGATACCCGATCGCAGTTCTCTTGGTTCTCTGATCGAACCTCTGTCGTCGACGGTCGAGCCTCCCAATGAAACGGGTGACAAAAAAGCATTGCTCGTAAGTGTACTGGTGCGCACTGCGCAGTTGCGTACTGTGCGACGCGTATTTTTCGTTTGAACGTGAGAGAATTGCGCCAAATTTGTAGTCTGGAATGTCTTATCTTTTCTCTTTTTCTCTCCGATATCCTGCGATCCTCTTTTACTTTGAATTTGGATCAAAATTTAAAATATGAAGAGTGCAGCTACAAAAAACTGAATTTTTGCTGTATGAAAAGTGTGATTACAATGTGAATATTTTTATTTAAGAACATATTTATAATATATATTTATTTTATTTTTGCTGTCACAATACTTTAACTTAAAAAATAATAAAAATCTAAATTTTGTTGGTTTAAGTATTTTAATTCAAGATGTGATTTATGAAAAATTTCATTACGATACAGGGTATGTTTCTAAAAAGATTGAGATTTTTTACTATATTTTTAGCTGTAAATCCTGTAAGTATATTCTTGTTTTTATTTTTCAGTTTTGTATATTTCTGATTTATTTCGTTCTTTTCTTAGCATTTGGTTCTATAAATTCTACAGATTTGATTTCTTCTTCTATCCTATTTGTTTTTTGTGTTATATTGTTATATTTTTGTGTTATATTGTATATATTATTTTTTCTCTTTTTTGAATTTTAAAGTTATGTTTCATTTTTTTAAATATTTCTTACGTTTATTAATTTTGTGTATCTATAAATATATATGTATATATATATATGAAGTATTTACTTCTTATCATTTTTATGATATGGTTTATATATAATAAACTTTCTGCATTTAGAGATACATTTTTGTCATTTAATATAAAATAATTCAGTTTTTTAGGGGAATAAAATAAGTTTTTTTTATAAAACAATAAAATATTTTTTAAGCGGTATTCTGCAGAAGGAGGACCTATAATAACGCCTCAACATGGAAGCATTACAACAGAATCCAACAAGCCTGACGAAGCTAGAGCAAGAGAAAGTGCGCTTAAGGAGAGACATGCTACTCCTTCTGTGGTTGCAAGGAAAGAAGCAAGAGAAGAGAAAATAAAACCGAGGAAGGGAGTTTCAGAAAGTCCAGAGATAACACCTACGAAAGGTATAGATCAGAATATGGATCCGAAGGAAAATGTATTATTTAATCAGACCACTTTTGAAAATATGAAATTACCTATAATGAAAAGTAGTCCTGCGATAGAAACAGCTCATATCAAATCTGAAACTTCTAACGTTAGCCTCCCGAAATTAAATACCACTAATCCACGCTCTAATGACAGCTTAAATCACCATATAGACTCTAATTACTCTAATATAAGTATACCAGCAAATGGAACTGCAGCTCATCTAGACATGAATAATACAACGAAAACATCTTTGCATGTTGAAAAGCACATACCGAAGCCTAAACCAACGGTAACGACTGTTGATGGGCCAGAAATTAATGAATCTATACCACTCCTACGAACAAAAAATCCTCCACTAGGCATGCCAAGAAAAATCGACTACATTGTGCCAGTCATTATAACAATTGTCGCTTTACCGATATTGGGTGCTGCGATTTTCGTATTATATAGGCGCGGTCGAGATTGCTGGGATAAGAGGCACTATCGAAGGATGGATTTTTTGATCGACGGAATGTACAATGACTGATACTCATGTGAGAAGAAGTTTGTTCCATGAGATTAAATACGCGTCATGCAAGAAGCAATCAATTTCCGCGTTCTTCCATTTGCAAATGCAAATTTTGTATACGTTCTTTAAATTAGCCAATTATGTACTTTGCATTGATTTCTTCTTACATAACGATATAAATGTCCAAACGACAATGATACCTATCATTAGAATATATCAAAGATTTTGACACTTTTATAAACATATTGAACGATATATTATGCTAATCGTAATATCGTAATAATATCTAAGCTCACTACATATTGATACCTAAATTTGCTATACAATTTTTTTATTATACTATTGCCTTAATATTATAGACATGTTAAGGTTTAAGATATTATATTGAAAAAAAAAATATTGTTGATGGTATTGTAACAACGTTTTTATAAATACTTCATTGCAGCTTCTAAATTTAACATAATTTTCTAAATTATTTTTTAAGTATACATATGTTTATTACACGTATAGATAGATTGGAAATTTTATTTAAAACTTGTTTTTGTTAATGTGTGAACAAATTTTTGTATAAATGTTGTATGTCTTTTTGAGACGATCTTTCCTTTCTTTTGTATATCAATGTACATGTCGCATTTGATGCCACCTTTTTTATATTAGAGAATATAAAAAAGATTTACAAAGGGTCCAGTTGCCAAATCTGACAATAATAATTAAATTTATATAAAACCAGGACGATTTAATGGAATTGTATTGTGCTTTGGAAGTGCTCTCTCAACAAATAGTATTGTGCACGATCTTTTCTGCAAAAATTGTAGTTTATAATAAGAATAGTTTGACCTATGAAATGCGATATTGTACACAAATTTTACCAAAGAGCTACTCGATTTATACACTGTAAGTTTGTTAGTTGCATTTTTTTGTTTGCATCTGTAAGATTGTATTTTTTTGCAGGATAATTTACAAATGTTTAATCCATTTCACCTAGGATACTTTATATAATTGCCATACACGCGCAGGATATCATTGAAATATCGTCTCGCTATGTAAATATGGTAGCCAATAATTTGTAAAAAATTATTCAATTTGTAAGACCTTTTAAGATTGCAATTTTTAAAAACAAATTGCGTTTTAAGCCTTCGAAAGACTATATTTTATTAAATATATGCGAGAAAAAAGCAATAATAATTATTATTTTTGTACTATATCTATGTAAAAGAAAAATATTCATATTGTTATAAAAAAATATATATATATTTGCAAATCGCACGTTTTACATCATTTCGTGCACCTATTAAAATGATGTGCATCATTTCATAAAGATTTCATATTAAGAAATAAAGAAAGCGAGAAAAAGAAAGAAAATGACGTTTGTAAAGATTTTATTAATAAGCTTATCATATAGGTATATAAATTCAGTAACGATAATAATACATGTTAATTACGAGCCTTATGGCTTCTGACTACAGACTTTTATTATATACATTAGATCGCTAACTTGCCTAGTTGTTTCAAATGTCTCAAATATATGGCTCTCAGAAGTATGTATGTACATACTGAATCATGCGCATATGCGATATTAAAGGGACATTCAGGGACACTGGTATATATATTAATTACATACACATAGATCTAACATATATACTGTTATATCGGCCAATAACAGTGCATCGGCCTTATCACATGATCTTTTACGTCACTCATTTACAAAGTTTTTCAAAAGTATGTAAATCACGTAATAATTTTTGTAAAAACGAAGATATTGGGAAATGGTGAAATTCGTGTTCCATTATTTCAAAAATACTATCTTTGCGCCAGTGGCACATCTCTGTTCATCGTGTCGATGAACAATTATGTTCAGGTTTGGTCAACGAGAACAAATCTTAAAATTTGTTCGAGTTGATCGGGGCTATTTGATGGTGATCAAAACAATAATAATTTTAAATTTAAGTTATGAACAACTACATTCAAAATGGCCATATAAAGGTGGAAATTTCTTATACTTGGCATTAATCAGGATCACCATCCCGCCCTCGCATTTGGGGATGGTTTTTCGATATTTTCGTTTTACAAAAATTATTATAGAATTTCCACATTTTTGGGAAACCTTATACAATACCAGATACGGTAAATAACGGAGTTAGTGTCATTAACGGCCTAGTGTATATTATAAAAGTCTATGCTCCTAACTAGTCATCGCGGTTACATTAGATCATGACGTTATAAGCGAGAAAGTTTCTTGCATGGCATTTATAAATAAAGGAAATTTAAATAAAACGAAATAATGAGATCGCTTTAAGACACTTGTAAAAATGTTCATGACCCATTTTTGTATACGCTCTTTTTGACAATCAATAAATAGTCGTAAAAGGCAATGAAATACATATAATGGCTAGGTTTTTAAAATACATATAATAGGTTTTTAAAATACATATAATAGGTTTTTAAAATACATATAATAGGTTTTTAAAATACATATAATAGGTTCTTAAGCCTACTTTTATTTTACATGCCTTTTATGATTATTTACTGACTCAAGGTAGTAAAAATGGGCGTAAAAATAGAGTATTTTTACAAGTGTTTTAAAGCAATTTTATCATTTTGTTTTATCTAAATTCTCTTTAATTACAAATGACATGCAAGAAGCCTCAATGTTTCATTTCTCGCTTATGGCGTCATAATTTAATATGGCCACGACAATTAATCAGAAACCTTGAGTCTGAAGCCTGAAACACAATATTGAAAAGCATAGACAATAGGAACACGGAATAACAAATTTCAATCTATCAGAAACCGTATATATCAGAATACACGGTTTTTGATAGAATGTCTCATATATCCTGTTCCTATTGCCCGTGCTGCTCAATTGTGCGTCAGACTTTAAACTCGACGAGTGATCACAATACAGAAAGAGAGCTTTATCTGTTTTACATATGTATGTGTACGCTTTACACATCTGCATACTCAAACATTAATCTTCAATGATTTAAGGTGATTTTAAAGTAACAACTTTATACATATATTTTTTTCTTTGAATCTTTTAAGTTCTTTAAGAACATTGCGATAAAATTTTGTTAAATATGATTCAAAATTTTAACGAAAATTATGGTTAGTAAAATAAGACAAACTAGGATATATGTTTCTGTTTTTGATTTAGTTTCCATAAATAGAATTCTTTCTCGCAAAATACAGAATGTCGTGAAAACGTTTTATGACAAAGATTCATTGTTATTCAGATAAAATTATTGGTGTTATACATATGTGTACGTTTATCTCTATCTATATAATCAATATCTATCTCTATATAATCTATATAATCAATATATTCAACATACTTTTCTCTCAATGTAAAGAGAAATCCAAATCCCTAACGTCGTTTTCTAATATTCTAGTAAGTTATATTTATTTTAAAGAAGTACAATTATTTAGATCTCATTTGAGATTAAATCTAAATCAAGCTAATGCCTGCGTTCGATCTATATATAGAACTAAATATAAAAATAGTTATTTTCACATCATAAATGTTATTTGTTCTGAAGCTTTCATTACAATGAAATGTACTTCATTACAATGCAGTATACTAAAGTACTACAAAAATAATTTCAAATATCAATTAGAATGAGAATTTAAAAAACAGAAGTTTTACAATAATAATAATAATAATACATTTAATTTTTATTTTTATTTTATCTTCTTCATTATTATAAAAAATATAAACTTTTCAATTCGATTGTATCGAAGAAGCTTCAGAAAAATATAAAATATATTACGCTATTAAACTTAATGTAAGAACTTGTGCATAAATATGTAGCTTAAATACACAATACATATTTTTAACAATATAATACTACAAATATTATAGAAAAGTACGAATGGCGCCAAGGTCGAACTGAAAGAAAAATTCAAGAAATAATGATCAGAAAATCTCATATTTAGCATACATAATTTTAAGAAAATGATGAATTTGTAGTATAAATTTGTATTGTATACATACTGAAGTATTGGGTTGATTCATAAATAAATTCTATTTTCTTTTATCAGATTTTTTTGATATGACAAAGCTGTGATGTATCTCTGCTTTTTCGTGCTCTATTATATAATGTGGATTTTGTTGCATAATAATTTGAAAACATTATTGAAATCGGAATGGTTTGTCTATGGTTTTTGAAGTTTCTTTTTGGAGAGAAACTTCACAAACCACTTTTGTTCTGCTTGATCTGTTATGACACTTTCGCTATATATAATTTAAATTTTTTTAATCATTACAACAGCATTTTTCTTGTTTAAATTTTCAAGGCATTACGTGACGTACATACATATACTTTCAAATCTTCTATTTTAAGATTTTATTTTCGCAATTTTATAAGATGATATGCATAGTTATAAATATATTAATATATACACAAATACAGATATATATCTATTGATTTACGATTGAGGAACTTATTAGAGATGGAATTAGAATTTAAGATTTTCAGAAAAAATAAATTGTTACATGCAATGAAACTTATTTATGAATCAATCTAATATATGTATACTCAGAGAGCACTCATGTAAAAAATCGGGATATAAGACGTCTTCAAGATCATTAAAACATAATTTCTTAGATATCTTTAATATTTTAATGACATCTTTAAGTAAGACACTCTATGTCACAGTTTTGAACATGCGTTTGTTGTCTGGATAAATCTGAAAATTGAGAGCTTTACTGAAGACTTCTAAAAACAAATAATACAAATTATTAAAAATAAATAATCTAACGAACATTTAGCTAATAGAAAACCTATTTTGTTGCTCCCAAAGTAAAATCGAATCAACTTTGATCTTATTAATAATTTTATTATCTTATTAATAGTTTTAAAGTATAAATTCAATTTTCATGTGCCTCAAACCTCCGGAAACTTTTTATTATTTTTTTCTATTCAGTTCAACCTTGAATGGCATTTGTATATACACAATCATTATCACTAGATCAATGAGCGGATAGCCGAGTTTCTTTCACGAGAATCCTCTAACCAGTAAGTTAAAATATTGCACTACGTACATGATACACTGAATTAGTTTCAGTCCAAAAAGATATAAAATTTCAGACTTTGACACAGAAATAAATAAAGCGTTAAGAAAATTTAATTCGAAAAGGATATTTGAATATCAATATTTATCTGATATTAAGAAGCGGGATCTATTCTTCATAAAATATTTTTCACAGAAATATGAATA